TGAGGCTTGGATAAAGTTTTTACTATTACTATTGACAATGCTGGTTCAAATAATGTTGCTATTTCTTATTTTAAAAAAAAAATTATTAATTGGAATGTTGGTGTGTGTAATTGTGATTATCTTATGAGGCTTGGATAAAGTTTTTACTATTACTATTGACAATGCTGGTTCAAATAATGTTGCTATTTCTTATTTTAAAAAAAAAATTATTAATTGGAATGTTGGTGTGTGTAATTGTGATTATCTTTGCATGAGAAGTAAAACACATATTGTTAATTTGGTTGTAATGGATGGATTAAAAGATGTGAATGAATCAGTTGCGAGGATAAGGAATGCAGTGAGATATATATGGAGTTCTCTAGCTAGATTGAAAAAAAAAAATTTTAAGAGTGTTGAATATGAAAAAATTGAATGCAAGTGTTTTTGAATATGAAAAAATTGAATGCAAGTCATTTTTATGTTTGGATGTGTCTACTAGATGGAATTCTATATATTTAATGTTAAAAACAGCAGAAAAATATGAGAGAGCATATGAGAAATACGAGTCGCAGGAACCAATATTTAGGATTGAGTTAGATGAAAAGATTCTCGACCACTTGGATTGGAAAGAAGTTAGAAAAATAGTTGATATGTTGTCCCATTTCTATGAGCTTACTTTGTGTATATTTGGTTCAAGGTATGTCACATCCAACTTGTTCTTTAGTGAGATTAATGATTTGTGTTTTATTTTAAGTGATTGGCAAAATATTGTACAAAAAGATGTGAAGTCTATAGGTGATAAAATGAGGACAAATTTGATAAGTATTGGGGTGATATAACCAAAATGAATAAATTTATCTATGTAACAATTGTTCTTGACCCTCATGATAAATTTGAGTACATGGAGTATGCATTTTTATCTATGTAACAATTGTTCTTGACCCTCATGATAAATTTGAGTACATGGAGTATGCATTTAAGAATATGTATGGCAAGAAAAAGGGTGAAAGTTTGTTTATAAGTGCGACAAACTCTTTGAGAGAACTATTCAATGAGTACAAAAATATGTATTAACCTGAGCATGATCATTGTACTAACAGTAGTGGATCTCAAGTAAATACTGGTAGCATTGACCTAGGTATGATGAGTGCAAAGCCAAAATCTTTTTTGAAGCAACACTATAAAAAGCAAAAACTTTCAGATTCTGGTGGTAGAGAATCAAAAACTGAGTTAGATGTCTATCTTAGCGAAGCAATTCAAGATGACAAATAAGGTTTTAATATCTTAAAATGGTGGAAGATTAATTGTGAGATTTCGTGCCCTAGAAAGAATGGCTAGATATACAGTGGCAGTTCTTGTATCGACAATGGCTTCAGAGAGTGCTTTTAGCATAGGAAGAAGAGTTCTTGACTCATTTAAGAGTTCTTTGACTCCTAAAATAGTGGAGGGATTGATATGTATACGAGATTGGCTTCGATCATCTTACATAAATGTTGAAGAAGATACGGAAGAACTTGAAAATTTTGAAAAAGGCATGTGATAAAATCAAAATATCATTGTTTGTTTTATCTTATTCAATATTTTCATTTGAGCATATGTATTGATAATTGTTTGGTTTTAATTTTCAGGTCTACCTCCGGTTGGAATCACAATTAGTGCTACGATATTAAATGTAGTTGAATTTTTTTTTAAAAATGTTGGTTGATATTTAATAAGTTGTGATCTTAGTATCATTATGTACATAGGCTCCATAATTATATATGAGGAATACTTATATATTCTTTTTCTATTTAATTATTAATTGTTTTTAACATTTTTTTTTAGGTTTGGAGAAATGACGAACTTGTAAACTTTTAGGATTATGGACATGTGCCTATTAGATGGAATTTGATGATCAAGCTTGGAGTTATTATTGACTTGTTGTTTTATTGTGTGAACTTGGTTACTTGTTAAATTGCTGTCTTTTCTATACTTTAATTATTAACTTGTTTAATTTGTGGATTTTAAATTGTTAATTTGTTATTGTTTGTCAAATGCTTATGGATTTGAAATGTTAATTTATTATTGTAGTTTGTGGATTTTAGTTTAAAGCAATAATTGAAACTATTTTATTAATTTTTAGCTTCTAAATTGGATATTGAATTATACATTTTATTAATTTTTAGCTTCTGAAATTGGATATTGAAGATTATACATTTTTGTCTATATTATAAATTAAATGAGTCAAAAAATAAATTCGGAATACTTTAATTATTAACTTGTTTAATTTGTGGATTTTAAATTGTTAATTTGTTATTGTTTGTCAAATGCTTATGGATTTGAAATGTTAATTTATTATTGTAGTTTGTGGATTTTAGTTTAAAGCAATAATTGAAACTATTTTATTAATTTTTAGCTTCTAAATTGGATATTGAATTATACATTTTTGTCTATATTTAAAATTAAAATGAGTCAAAAAAATAAATTCGGATATTCGGTTATCAAAATAATTTTAGCTTAGATCTGATAGTTTAAAAGTAATATTTTCAGTTTTTGGTTTTGCTCACCCCTATTCTTTGATGGAAAATGGTGAAGAAGCTCCATCAAATTATGTTACAGACTTCAAATTCCTGTGGAATTCTTTACTTTCCTCAAAGATTTCTCTCTTTGCTTGGAAGTGTTTCCTAAATAGGATCGTACGAGATTAAATCTTCTCAAAAGAAAGATTTTGACTTCCCAAGGTGATGCTTGTTGTCCTCTGTGTAATTTATGTTGCGAAGATATTAATCATTGACTCCTCTCTTGCCCAAAAGTCTCTAAAATTTGGAACTCAATCTTTATTTGGTGGGGAGTCTCAACAGCCTTACCCAACAAATTACTGGATCTTGCCATACAATGGGAAAATATTTTTTCAATAAAAGCTAATTCTTTGAGTTGGCAATTAATTTTTTAGTCAGCTATATGGAAAATCTGGTGGAGGCGAAATACTTTGGTCTTCAAAAACACTTGGTATGAGGATAACCAAATTCTGGACAACATCAAATTTAGGTGCTTCGAATTAATTAAAGTAAAATTCCCTGCTTTTCCTTATTGTCTTAGTGACTGGTTTTATTCTCCTGTTATGGTAAAATAGTTGCAACATTCTTTCTACCTCAAGGAAAAGAAATAATGCAGGTTTAATGGATTGGAATGCTCCTACAGTAGGCTTTCTCAAGTTTAACGTGGATGGTTCATCAAAAGGAAAACCAGGTCCTGCAGGTATCGGTGGAACTTTAAGGGATTCAAACGGAAATATCCTTTGCATTTTTTCCTAAAAGCACAGGTATTATGGATTCCAATGAAGCTGAGCTATTAGCAATATTATTTGCCCTTGAACTGTTTAGTACTTCGCTTTTCAAATCACATCGGCTAATTATTGAATCTGATTCTAAAAGCGCAATTGCGTGGGTCTCAAACAGAGCTAACAGACCATGGCAATGGTGGCTTCGTTTTAATCAAATGGATAATATACTTTTCTCTCTCTCTATGGTTTCATTTTCCCTCATTCCCATATCCAAAAACAGTTTCACAGATCATTTACCCAAATGAGGGGTTGTTAAGGTCCTCCCTTTTATACCTTGGCTTTGAATGGGCTCCGTTACTCTTTGATTTATTTTTGGCTGCAGATATCATGTTGGTTATGGAAGAATTCTTTCTTTGTAATCTTCTTGAAGGATTATTTAGGTTAATTATCTTTGTTTTAATGCTTCCAAGTATAAATTCTCTTATCTCAAGAGTTTTCATTCTATGAAGCGTGCAGCAAAGACGTTAAGTAGTCAGAGATTTTTGGAATTTTCTTTTTATACCAATGTATCACGAGGTTTTTCTAGGTTTTTTCACTTAATATTCATAGGATAGGTTGGGGTTTTTTTGGTAAGCCGAATGACTTGGTTCTAATTGCCTTTGAATGTGAAGTTTTTCCTGGATATATTAAAATATTAATAAAATATTTTATTAAATTTCTGAAAATATAAAATAAAATTTGTTTGTTAAAATATAAAATATAAAATATAAAATTTGTGAAATAACCTTTCAACTTTTTTATGTTAAAATATGTAAAAATGTTTTATGAACGATAAGTCTTTTATTATCATAATAAACTATTAAATTTTAGAATTTTTAATTGAGTTAAAATAGAATTCAAAAATTTTTTGTTATTATTATAATAAATTAGCACATATATTGGAGTTAAAATATTTTTTATCTTTTTAAATTAATGTTAGCATCCATAATTGAGTTTAAATATTAGTTTTTTTATTAGGATTCCTAATGGAATAATATTTATATTTTTTATTTTTAATATTAGGATATATTGTTTAAATAATTTACAATAATGATTTATATGTTCTCGTGGTTAGTATCTGACTATCTGTGCAATGTTCATTTTCAATCATGAGTTCAATATTCAGTAAAAACGTTTTGCAAAAAGAATACATTTCACCAAGTATTTAATCAAATTGGGTTAACCCAGCTAAACTCATCCGAATTGAACCAGTTTATAGTTAAAACCCAACCAATTCACTTGGTCAACTAGCAAGTACACATCATCGTTTTTAGTTGTTTCGGGTTTAAAAGTACTAAATATAAGAATAAATTAGTCTATTTTTTCAATATAGAGAGCAAAAATATTATAAAAAATGAGAGGTATTGTACACAAAAAATTTCTGAAAATATATAATAAAATTTGTTCTTAAAATACAATTTTTTTTTCCTAAAATTTATTTTATGTTTTAAAAAGCTAGACCAAAAAATTTTAGATAAACACATTTTATTGAACCAAAAGCCGAACGATTTCAAAATCAGTTCTGACCCGAAACCATGACCATCTTTTGCTTCACAAGACCATAAAAGCCCATTGGATTGGGCTAAAAATAGGACTACGGATCTTTCCAGACTTTCTTTCTTCTTATATTTCATGCAAAATAATTTCCCTCTGATTTTCTTCGTACGGTCGACGGCGTCAAATGTACGATTGTTTTCCAACCATTAAATTTTGAATCAATGGTGGATACTGTGTGTCCATACTATCACCTTAAACTTTAAGTTAACTTCCATTATCCTCTCTGCCTATAAAAGGACCCCACAAGGCCATCACAGAACCCTACCCAGCAGCCATTTCTACATTTTAGTCTCGCTCGTTCAAGCCAAGGTAACAAGGAATTTCCTTTCCTTTCCTTTCGTTTTCTACTTGTTGTTTTTAATATTTTGTAGGTTTTTGATCATGCAAATGTGTTTCTTTAGTTATTAAATTTCTTATTAGTTATGATCTTTATTTTTAGGTTAACCCTAAGATTTCAAGGTTTTTTTTTTATTTCTTAGGGTAAAAACGACTTATTTATTTGTAAAACGATATGCATTGTGCTACCGATCTAGATTTTGTTCTGATTTTTTTGGATTTGCGGCTTCAGATGATTTCCTTTGGTTATTGTTTATTCTATGATTATTAGAATTTAGATCGTCATATAAATGGTTTTTATCTCTTTAGGGTTTGGTAAGTCTCTACCTCCTTATAGAAGGTGTGTTACACTCATGGGTTGGACCCATTTTCAACGACCAAATGGACACAACACTTTGCGTTGTCCTTACTTGCAAAAATTGGATAGTGGGTAACTTTTGTTTGTTGAGAATAATTAATTTGCTGTACCAGTTTTAATTTGGTTGACAAAGCAGGAATTTTGGTTTTGTATTTAATATTTATGTGCTTTTAATTTTTATATATTCTGATAAATTAATATTGGATGAGTTGGAGAAATACTTGAAATATTGTTTTGATTGATTCTGTTTGTTCAATTACTAGTTTGAAGTCCAACATTTTGTGGTACTATATCATCATTATCGTGCCATAGTTAATTAAAAGTTTATTGGTGTTATCGTACATGCTATCATAGTTAATTAAGAGTTGTATGATTGATTACATCCAATATAAAAACCCATTAAGAGAGCCAAAATTTAGCCACAAATTTATATAAACTAGCATGCCATTAGACAATATATTTGTATAATATGTGTTATATCTTCTAAATTTGCATTGTATTGCTATATGGTATAAGTAATGTGTTGCTTAGCAAACTAGATTTGATCAATTGGTTTAATCTACTTGTTCTCGTTTAAATGAATTTCATAAATTTTTGTTGCATTCATTTGGAATTAAGTTTTTGTTTAATATTGTTGAATGATTTTCTATTTGATCCTTTCTAAGGAATTGCTTTGTGTGCTTTGTGTAGCAAATAGGGGATTGAGTATAACAACTGGGCGCAGCCAAAAAATAATGAGTACTAAAGGAGAGCCGAAGGTTCATCACTGTGGTATTGCGATTTTAGATCCAAATGACAACTCTGGAGGGAATCCAGGGGGTTCTTACAATGCAATGGCTACAAAAGGGCAGCAATCTAACAGTCAGCAATGGATTTCCAGGAACAGCATTGTGGACAAGCAGACTGGTTCATATGCTAAGACAACTGTGAAGCAGAGCTATTCTTCTGGAGATGTATTCAAGGAGAGGTCCACTGGTAGAGTTGGTCACAAGGATGAGTTAAAAACAACTAGTACTTTTAAGGTGGGTGACAAAAGTGGTTACTACGAGTACCAGGTGGAGGAGAGGTTTCGCAAGGTCGATTATGGGAATAGCAGCAGCAGCAACAAGAAGTATTTGAAGTAGTTATATAATTGTGTTTGATGGTCATCTAGTAATATGGAGTTTGAACTTTCTATATAGGTTATGTTGCTTTCTAAGATTGAATTGATAATGACTTTTCAGTGGTTCTGTTGCTTTACTATGCAAATGTGGCTATGTTTCTAAGATACTAAGTGTTTGCTTTTTAATGTGCTTGTTATGTCAATTTCTGTCATGTTAGTTCTCCTTATGGCTAATGCTTATTATGGTATTAGCAGATGCATTTTTTTTTAATGATATACTTTCTTTCTGCAGCTCTTGTTGAGGTGAAATTTTAACTCCAGGAACATTTTACTTTTAGTGTTTTTACAGTTGCTGGCTATTAATATTATATTTTTAAAAAATTTATAGTATTACTTTTTTATTTTATCTCATTGGCACTTAGTTGATTTGATAGTCAGAAATATAGGTTTGAAAGTAGAAATTTATGTATAATTTAATTGAATTTCGAAATTTTATAAAATATGAATCACCTAAAGGAAAACTTAAAAATTTTGTTTCAATAAATATGAAAGATAAAAAATTTTAATTTGTTTGTAGTAAATCTGGAGTAACTGAACTGTTGTTTTGAAGCCATTGGATTTTGAATCAACTGTGGATATTGTGTAGCCACCTTATGAATCAAAAAAAGCATTATCTTTATTTTTTCTAAATGTTGCCGAATGTTTTCCTTTCAATCAAAGCATTGTTGATATTTTCTAATTAAGAAATTTCCATTGTAAGTATGTATAAAACTTTTTCAATTTTCAAAATTTTCCGTTCTCAATTCATAATTAAACGCAAATACGTTTTAAATAAAATTACTTTTGCAACCAACAAAATCATTAGAATGTAAATGGAAATTGATTTTCTTTTCTACTTGAGCTTATTATTTTGAAATTTAAAGTTTTAATTCCATTACCAGTTTGTTACTGAGTTAGCATTAAAAGTTATTAATAATTTATAATATTAACATTTTTTTGACTATATTTTCAGTATTTAATTTCAATTAGATTTCAGTTTATAATTTTGAAAATTTCAATATCAAAATTTTCTTAGTACATTAATATGTTCAATAATATGTATAAACAACATAGTAATTTATTAAAACTAACTCCATTTAATTGACCAATGCATATAGCAAGCCAATTAGAATTTTTTAATAATAAATAAAAATTTTTACAAATAGAGGGGATAGAAAATAGAATATACTAAAGTTCCAACAGGACCCAGGATCATGAATCATGTTTTCTATAAAAACATATCTACACAAGTCCCAATACCTATTATTTGTCGGTACAATGTACTATATATTACTATTTCTTTTCCTAATACATATTATTAAATTATTGGAAAATTGTGAATATTTCCCTAAATTGTAAATTAATTATTTTTATTTGTAAAATTTTATTATCTCTATTGAGAGTTTTTATGATGGAATAATATCATAAAGACTAACAGCAAATAACAGTTTATGGAAGATAAATAAGATTTGAAAAGACTCAGAGAAGGACATTAACATTATTATTCACACAGTTTACAGAAACTTAATTACTATTGATCATAAGACTGTTCAATTTTCTCTTCCTCATCTTATGATCCATCATTACAATAACCTTAAGCAACTCTCTAATTCCTTTTATTTTCAAATATTACATATTATACCCTAATTCATAATCTTGAAACATTCCTTCAGCCTGAAGAATATTATTAGTAGAATCCCAAGAATTTGAGGACAGAGATCTTGTCTCAAATTCATTAGACCACCATATCATGCCATCCTTGGAACCACCATTATTATTCATTTCCTTAAAACAATCAAATTCAACAATCTGATCTTCTTGTCGTTCAAACCCAGATGTTTTGTTACTCAGAAAATCCTCAAGCTCAGCTTGAAAGCTCGAAACAGGCTGGATTAATTCTGCATTAGATTGCCCTGCAAGATTCGAGCTCATTCCAATATTTGAATCCATCACATTATGGAAAGGAACTGTGCTATTTGAGGATGTTATAGTATTTGAAGAATTTCCCAAAGTATCAATATTATGGTTTTCCAATTTCGAGTAATCCTGATGATGAAGTTGTTGATGAGAAGTCGATAAAACTTGTTGAAGAAGAGAATTAGAGCTTTCTGCCATAGATTGGAGAAGAACTTTTTCTTGTAAAGGATGCAATTTAGGCCAAAGCGTAGGATTGTTGTGAAGAGAAAATGGGTTTTGTAGGTTTTGGAGTTGCATATGCAGTTGTAGCCTTTCAAGAGCTGAGTTGGTTAAAACCATCGAGGACGATGAACTAGTATTGTCCTCTACCTTGCTTGAATCTTGATTGGTACTTGTGGAAGAAAGGCGATTCATTTGAGCTTGTTTGCGTCTTCCCAATAGTTTTTTCTTCAATCTTGTGTTCCAGTAGTTCTTAATATCATTATCTGTTCTTCCTGGTAACTGAGCTGCAATTATAGACCATCTGAAGAAAAACCAAAGAAAAAGTAGACAAGTAGTTGAGTATCACATGCCTTTTCCAAGAAATAGAAAACAAGAAGCAAGAAACCAAAGAATTAGGACAAAGACAAAGGACAAGTAATTCCTTGTTGAGTTATGTGAAAGGAAGAGAACCAATTAGGGTTATCTTAATCGGTATTCGAGCTGGCAATTGCAGGTAGTGCAAGGGGTTCATCTCAAAAAGAATGGGGAAATTGCCTATTTTTCAAAGAAATAAAAAAAAAGGGGTATGTATGCATATATATACTGAAAATTATTTTCAACTATTTATTTTGAATCGTTGTCTTCTATTAATTAACCAGAAAAAGAAAATAGCGAGAATTAAATACCTGCTGCCAATGCTTATATAAAGGCTGCAGATGATGTTGTCTTCTTCTTCAGAGAATCCACCATGTTTGATATTAGGCCTTAAGTAATTTAACCATCTAAGTCTGCAACTTTTTCCACATCTCTTAAGCCCTATGGAATCACACAAACCAAACAGAAAGGGTCAAAACAAAAAATTACATTACAAAAAAACACGAGGAAAAGAAAGAAAAAAGAAGATCTTGGAAAACGAAATATATCTGTGTTAAATATGTATTTATTATGGAAAGAAATTGATTAAATAGTTTGTAATATATACCAATTTTTTGAGGAAGTGCAATCCAATTGCCTCCAGTACCATATTCCTCAATATAAGCCTTGAGCTTAGCATCTTCTTCTGGTGACCATGGTCCTTTCTTTACATTTGCCTTATCACAACAAGGAGCTCTACCCATCTTTCTTTCTCTGCAATTTTCTTGATCAAGAAACTCTTGTTTGGGATTGTTGGGAAATTTGAGAAAGGGATGACTCAAGATTTATAGTTAGAAATATTGAGTGGGTGATGTGATGCTTATAAGGACAAAAAAAGTCTTACACCTCACCTTCTCTTCCTCAAAAATATTTCAAAACCAACTTCTCTTTCTTCTCTAGGGTTCTTTCTGTGAGGTCTCTCTCTCTCCTCCTTTTTTTGGATTAGTTTGATAATCCGTATTTTAACTATATATGCAACTGGACAAAGTACAACGTAAATTTTTCTTCTTCTATAGCATTTTTAAATTGTACTGCTTTTTCCTGGTAGGGATTGATTAGTTTATTTGAAAGCACTGTGATAGAGGTAATTAAGAAATAGAAGAAACCTCCATCCTTTTAGTTTGTCTCCAATGTCCTTGAAAGATGTTCCATTATTAATCTGTGTACCTATCCCCTATTGCTTCTTTTAGTATAATAAAAAGGTTTAATCCCCTCGAGCCTTAGAGTATAAAAGTTTTTTGCTCTTTTAACAGAGTACGTTTCTCATATCTGGTATTGATTTTGTTACACCATATTATATATTTTTGTAATTAAAGCATTTTATATGAATCCTCACAAGAACAAAATTTCCTTTTTATAAATAAAAAAATAATAGGGGTTGGAATGCCTAATCTTATAATCCTATAGACGAATCAAATATTATTAATCAAAGTATATGAACAAATTTAGTGTTATAAATAGTATAACTGTTCACTTCTCAACTATATATACATGACTTAATCTAATAGTAAAAATAGAGCTAATTATAAGTTGGTATACTTAGGATCAGAATTTCACTGATGATAATTTTATTTTGTAATATTAAAAAATTTTTTTTGGCTATTGCCAATTAATTTTGATTAAATAAGATTACAAGGCTAAGTTTATTTTTAGAAAATAACTTATCTGAAAAATATTTTTCAAATTTTTTGAGATTAAAGGTGCTTAAAAAAATCAGATATCCAGCCAGTGTTAGGTCCATGATTCATTTTTTAAAAGGGAAAAATATTTTTTAAACTTTGATAAATTTATTATAACTTTATAAATGCACATTTTTTTAGTTATTCATTAATCACGATGTCCACTACTACCGTTTACTGGTCACCACTGGCTACCACCATCGGCCACCACCAGTCATTGGTGACTATCACTATTTATCATTTTTATTTATTTTTCTCATATTTAATAATAAATTTTTAAAATACAAAATTTCTACAATTATAAATATTTTTATGGTTTTATAAGTTAAAAACTTTAATATTTTTCAATTATAAATATTTTTAGGTTTTTATAGTTAAAAACATTTAATATTTTTAAGTTAAATTTTTTAAAATTGCAATCAACCAATGAAAAAAATGAATGTATTTAAAAAAAAATATTTTTTTCCCTTGAAAATATGTTAAATTCATTCAAAAACAGATGGAACCCAAATTAAAATTATATCATATAATATATATATATATATATATAGGTTATAGGTCTAGCTCCCCTCAATTTCTTTTTTCCGCGAATGTTACTTTGAATCAAGGACATGTTATTAAAAGTTGATGAAGCAACAATTTTTTTAATACAAAATTTTAACAACTTACCTAATGTATGAAATATTTCATTTTGGTTTGTAAAAGACAAACTTTTTGATTGACTTCTCCATGTCTATCTTAAGACAAACCTCTAAATCTAATATTATTGTTATTATTAATTTACTTTTACCTATAACAGTTCCTTGGAATGTCAACCTATGCCATTGCCTTGAAAGCTGTAATCAAAAATATCAAATGGTACAAAAAGAACAAGTTGTTAGTGCTTTAAGTGAAAGTACATATATGTGTCCAATATATAGAATTCTGGAAATCATTGCTTCATTTCCCAGTTTGGAGTGCCAATGATACACACTAATCCAAGGAGAGAAATGAGAAATTGTGAATTTTCACCATAAAAAAAAAAAAAAAAAAAAAAAAAAAAAAGGATTAGAAATTTAGAACTTAAATTGCTGATTAAAGAGGGAAATAAATCTTGAAATGTTAAGGGATGCTTAATATGCAAAAGTTCAAGGGTTAATGATAAAAAAGGATATTTTGAAAGCTTTCTAGATTGACAGTTTGAAATTTTCTTTTTAATTTTTTGAACTATCTGCATAAATTCTCACATTACTACTATATATAACTGTAATTAATTATAACTAAAAACTTGAAAGGATATTTGCTAACTGCCATATATTATAATATAACATATTAGTGTTATGATGGCAGAATATATTATTATTAAGTATTGTTTAACATTTATCAGCAAAGAAAAATTTTTTTTTAAGAATTAAATAAAAAATAAGATACGTTCAGGAAAAACTCAGCTAACTAGATTACTACACTCAAGTCATCAGATTTTCTCAATACACCTTATAATATTTTGAAAAATTAAGTAAAAGCCTAAATCCATACCAATAGATAACCCAAAATGCAAAGAAAGAATAGCAATAGTCTCTTTTCATGGGAGGAAAAAAGAAACTACCGACAAATAAAAAAAATAAGTATATCAAATATGATATTTATAACTATGCCATAAAAGGTATTGTAGCTATTATCTTTTTATTTATTTAACATTATGAGACATGATTTTTTAAAAAAAAAATTAGTGTTCTCACGATATTCTTACATCTTTCAGACACAATTTAGTCTAATATAGGATGATTTATATGATCAATTCAGACACAATCACATTTTTCTGAATTAATAGTAATACAGTGATATAGTTTTATGAGAAGAATTATATTGATACTTTCTTATATCTAGAAAATATAGTATATTTCAAAAAAAATAAAAGGGAAAAAGAAAAAGATACATGGAGTTTAGGTTGATGAAGCAATGATTTTCATGATCACAACCAGACCAGTTTCTTATTATTGTCTAATTTATTATTAAGCCCTAACAAAATGTGCCAAGTTGTGTAGGTTTTGTAATAAAGAATTAAAGGAGTTGCAATATTTTAACATAAAGAAGAAGAAAACCAAAAGAAAAAAAGCATAGAAAATTCAAAACTTTTTGAAGAAACAGCACTCATTGACCTTGGTTTCCTTACTTTAATATTTTCCAAAAGATTTTATTAATGCAAGAGAAGAAAAAGAAGGCAAAAGAACCAAAACCCATGTAGAAATAACAAGGAGAAACTATCAAATTCAAAAAGCACTCACTACCAAAATAATATTCTAATTAATTATATCTTAATCAACAAATAGACTCAGATCTTTAAGACAAAGCAAAAATGCTTCTTCTTGTCTTTCTCTAAACCTTAGAATCTCTTTCGTTTAAACTATGATAGTGTCATGGATAAGACCAACCTTAAGACTCTTCTTATAATTAGTGAGAGCTGGTAAGAGGGTGGTCCTGAAGATGAGAGGATAAGCTTTTGCATCATTATTGGCTAAATACGATAATAAAATTGAATGATTGGTGCTAATTAGTTCATTCCTCTAATCAAGATTTCTAAAATTAAACCATTTAGACAAACCATTTTCAAACTTAGGGATTGATTATCAATAGAATTAGTTCAGTTAATAAAAATACAAGCTCTCTTTTTTCATAAAATATTAAGAATAAATTAGTAATTAATTTCGTCTCATAATAAATATGAATTTCACAATTGATCAGACATTATTGTTGACAATCCATAAACAATTTTATCAAATTGTTATTTATTCTAAAAAATTTTATTGATAAATTTTAATAGTAACTTATTATAAAATTCTTCATATTTATCTCAATTAATATTTCATCTATAATTCCTATAATTAAATTTTGATATCTTGCTGATATTACAGAAAAAAAAAAAGTGAAAACTTGAAATTGGAATTTCTTATTTAATTTTTTTTTTTTTTTTTACTTGAAATTGGAATTTCTCTTATTTAATTTTTTTTTTTTTTTTTTTGCTTATATCCTTGAATTTCAGTTTATTCTTCTTGTACCTCCCTAAAACGTTCAATTATGATCTTAACATTTTTTTATATTTTATAATACCTCTCCGTATTTTTTACATAAAATTTTTTTTTTTTTTTTTGCTTAATAAATCTTGAATTTCAGTTTATTCTTCTTGTACCTCCCTAAAACGTTCAATTATGATCTTACATTTTTTTATATTTTAATAATACCTCTCGTATTTTTACATAAAATGACTTTGCATGATTCTATATTAATCCTGCAATTTACATTTTATTTTGACAAGAAACATAATTATTACTAAAATGTGAAAATATATGATCATAATGATTTTCCTATAAAGTTTATAAAACTACAAAGATAATCGCTGAAAGTGTATGGTCAAAATTATACATTACAACTTTTATTTTTTTTTTTTTCAAGAAAACGCTTAATATACATATATGAGACATGAACATAACACATCTTTTATAAAAAAAACAATAAATTTTAGGATCGCGAAGTACGAACTCCACGCACTACAAAACTGGAAGCACCCTATAATACATTTGATAATTGGAATTTTCTGGAAGACCTCAAAAAGTTAGAGTAAGTATATATGTGTCCCCAAAATATTGGTAATCAACTCACAAAAATACGTACGTGTACCATATCTTTAAGCTTCCCCACGTATTTAATTCAGCTCCTTTTCTGAAATGAATTATTTAATTGATTCGGGTATGTAATTAACTATATACATGATGATTTGGCATATTAAGAGTTTGTTCAAGAAAATTAATAGTTTTGATAGCTATTAGCTATTTCAGCAGCGTTTAATTATTAACTGTTTAAATAGTTTTTCATAAAATATTAAATTAATCTCTAAAAAAGCTAGTTTAAATGCTACATTATCGAACACTGTAAAAAATAGTTATCAAAACACTAAAAATTATTTAAAAAGCTATTACCGAATACGGCTTAATACTAGGCAATTGACTTTTCTTCCAAGATAACTGTGATTAAAGCCGCGTAATTAACAAAAGTAATGTTAAAAAGATAATGATTTCTTAACATTCTTTCCTCGCTGATATTGTTTAATCAATTACTTAATTAAGGTAATTTTTTAATCACAGATTAAGATAAGATTGAAATTCCTGGAGGAAAGAGAGGAAGAAAAGCCTAAGAAAAGTTGCAACCCACATATATCGTCATGAAGGTTGACAAAGTTGCTATTGGTGGACTTATGTACCAATAATATGAGATTAATAATAATAATAACATTCATTGAATAAGACAGCAAGGACTTGATCAACCTTAATAATACGTAATTAGGGTTTAATTTATCTTAATCAACCTGCACGTCGTTTTCTTCAATGCACTTTATATGTTATAATAATTTAAAAAAACGCTACAAAAGAGACGCAGTTGCTGAGCTCAAAAACGGGTCTCTTCCCCTTTCCACAAGTCAACAAGAATTGTCAACTCTCTTGTTGTTTTGATTTTTTTGGCAACGAACCCATCACTCTTAGCATCCAATAGATTGACCTTAATTCCTCTGTATATCATTTCCTGAGATTTCTTTGCATGCGGAATTAGAAATTGGGGCCAATCCCCACATAAACTTAATGATTAAAAAACATAAATATCATATTGTGCAACACCTTTGACCTAATTTTTAGCTTTTTGACTAAATCGAAATTTTCGCTCCATTAATTTTATTATTTGGTAACATTATTTTTATAACTTTTAAATGTCGAGAGAGTTTCTTGTGAAACGTTAAACATTCTAAAGTTTAACATTTCACATAGATAATGTCAAAAAAAAAAAAAAAATTTCTCATAGATTAATTAACAGTTTTTGATAATCATATCGGCCCATAATTTTTTGACTGAATTCAACTAATTAAACATTTAATTTTTTTTTTTATATCATTAAGTTAAACAACTATTTTACCTAAAACTTTTAATTTAAACTCTATAAATAGCTATAAGTTAAAAGCTAATAGCCAATAGTTAAAAGAAGGACTAATAACTATTAAAACAACTATTATTGCCGATCAGGCCCAAATTAACGTGTAAAGTGAAAAATATTATTTGCAAAAATTACGTGTAACATTGTGATTATGGCATTGATATTTTATACAGTTTACCTACACTTAATTTTATATTTATATATTTTTATTTTTCAAATTAGCCATTTTCACAATAAGATATGAATAGTAAAGCTTGATGTACCTTCTATGAGATTTATTTGTTTTGACGTATGAGATTTATTTGTATGAGATTTATTTGTTTTGACGTATTTCAGTCCAGATTTTTTTAATTTAATATTTTTTGGCTAAATTCGGGGATTTGGAAAAGCCTATTCACTTGTCAGTCGCTGAGGTTTGTTAATTTTTTTTCCTGAAATTTTTAATTAAAATGGCTGAATACGAATTATATTTTAGATATAGATTGCATTCATTATTTATTATCTAAAGTTAAAGAAAAAGGCTATTGTTGATTTTTCAGGGTAAAACTTGAAGTAACGGTGTGGGTGTGGCAGATGGTTTCTGCTTCCATTTTCCAAATATAAAAATATGAACATATAACAGGAAAATGCCAACTTTGACTTCAATAAGAAAAGTCTCAAAGGGATAACCGTGTTTTAGGTTTATAAAATAAGGTGAGGGATGAAGATGATGGTGTCAGAGAATTTGACCCTCTGGATTTTTCTTATTGAGAAGAGAGTTGAGTTGGTAATATCGTATATTTATTTCTAGAAATTGGAATAGTTTAGTCTATGAACTTTGGTTGCTTATAATTTATAATAGAAAGAACATTAAAGATCACGTATTAAAAAGTTTAAGGGTCTAAAATTATAATTTGAGGCTTTTTTTTTTTTTTTTTTTTTCCGCTCAAACATCCTTTCACGATTGAATCAGAAATGTTATTCAGACAAAAGTACTTTTATCAGGAGTAACTCTAGATTTCAAACCCTAGATACAGTTAGCTTAATGATGTAGTCCAATAAAAGTTTCAAAAAGTAATTTAACGTGTCAGCTTAATGATATATAATAAAAAGAAATTATATAATAATTGACAACAAAATTTAATTTCATCAATTATAATATTCTTCCAATAGTTAAACAAAAATAAAAAAATAAAACTAAATTCTTTTGATACATGGGAACAGAATAAATGAGAAATTTTCAATGAATGTCGTATTGTATATGAGAATGTTGAATATGAATTTAGATTCAATACATATAAAAGCTTAATATTTTCAATATAGGGTGAGCTTTTGTTTGGCTAATTCACTTAACTCGATTAATTCGGTCAATTAGGTTCAGTAAATAAAAATTCAGTTTAAAGAAAATTAAGATTTCGGAGATCTGTTAAAAATTCAGAAAAAATTAATTTAATTGAATTAATCAAATTAACTGATCCTCAAAACTACGTTGTTTTGATTAAATAGATAATAAAATTAAAAATTAAAAATATTTCGGTTTTTATTTGAATTAAATAGTGATTAATAACTTCTGTAAATTTTTTTATTTCGATTAAAGTCGATTAATCATAAATTTTGATTAAATTTAATCGGTTAATTAATTTTTCATTTTCTTTAACTTTGGTTCAGTTAATGATTAAAATTAATTCGGTCAAAATGGTTCCGTTAAGTTGGTTAAAAAATTAATTTGATTAAATTCGGTTAAATCAAAAAAAAATTTCGATTAATTTATTTCGGTTAATACTTTTACTCAAAACCGACCGAATTGGCCGAACGCTCACCCCTACCTGCAGCAGGATATGAATAAACAAAAATAGATAAGAGAGGATCAATTGTTGATGTCAAAATTAGGAATGGAAATGCGACCGTTTTCACGGGTACATGATCCATAAAAATCCAATTAAAATAAATTTTGGATATTAATTAAATGTGTTTGAGACGGGTATGAATATTAATTTATCATCCATTCAAGTTTGGATTGGATAAGGATTCAAAGCTGCAAATATCCACAATCCACTCTGTTATATAGTTTTAAAATATATAACAAACTATTTTAAGCATTAACGGAACTTTAAAAAACAGGTTTTGCCCTCTAACAAAAAATTTTAAAAAGAAAAATCACCTATAAAATATTAAAATTTTTTTTATTTTTGCCTCTAAAATAATAAATTGTTTCTACTTAATTCTTGAAAAGTTTTTTAGCCCCTTAACTTTTTTAAAAAGAAAAATCACCTATAAAATATTAAATTTTTTTTTTATTTTTGCCTCTAAAATAATAAATTTTTTCTACTTAATTCTATGTCCGACACTGAATTTTTAAGTGAAAACTAAATGCATATTAAATCAAAGACAGTAATAATTTGGATCAATATTTTATTAAAATTAAAAATTATTAAACCTATGTCTAAAGCGCAATTTCTAACAACATAAAACACCAAAGAAACCAATTACTAAAAAAAATCTTAAATGTCTGAGTTTTAAAAATTGTCTTTCATTCATATCTCTGTTTCTAATCTAATCCATTTAAAACAGGTTTGTATTAGTCAAATGGGTTTGTCCTGTTGGGCACAGTATTTGAAACAGTGTTTAATGTTTTAATAGGATTGAAACACTATTTTAATTAATTATAGCGTTTGGTAATATAATATCTACCTTAGCGTTTAGAGTTTGAGACAATATTTTATAAAACATTATCTTTACTAAAAGTTAGCCTTTTATTATTTTTTTTATGATACGTATATCCATTATTTATCTTTACCTTATTTATTGCTTTCATACCATTTTGTGTCATCTTATATTAAACAGCTAATCATATAGTTATTTGTATTAAAAACTTTTATTCTAAACTGCCATATAATCGTTAACTACTAACAGTTAATATTTAACAGCCAACCGTTATTAGAACAACTGAATTTGCTGAATAGATTCTAAGACAGATACTGATATTAAAACTTTAAACAAGTATAATTATTTTAAAAGAAATTTTAAACCGATTTAGATCAAAAGTTTAAAGGAAATTGGGCACCGGTACTGCAAATTTTACACTGACAAAGACCCACCCCCATCCCTAATCAAAAGGGTTTTGTTGAAAATGCAGTATGCAATTATCACATTCCAAAATGAGCTGATAGAATTGGAATGGAACCCACAACGGACTCTTTCTTCTTTACCTATGCATGCTACTGTTGTTTTTAAAACTAAAATACAATCTTTCTTCTAAGAAAACTACAATATAATTTTAAATTTAATATTTAACTTGACGTTGTAGTATACACTGTATTTATTTATAAATTATCTTAATAAAAAATAATATTTAACTTGTTATTTTTAATGTTTCAATATGCAATAATATTTCTAATTAAAATAATATTAAATATGTTGCTTTAATGTGTTAATATGTTTTTTTTTATTTTAGTAATTACAAATAGTTTTGGACAAGTTAATTTCAGTAGCTGCTTGTATTATTTAAAAAAATATAATAGTTCCTCTCAATATTCAATAACCTGATGTCTTCCAGAACATAAAATTTTAACTTAAACCCTACCTTATCAAACTGAATTTTTTCCACAAAGGATGTAATACAGAAGGGAGACACTGACAAGTTCTTTCCAAGATATATACATACGCGGGCGGGCGCGCAAATTACCATATTGTTCATATTATTCATGAAAGTGAACAAAATATTAACCAAACTCTCCATCCCACTTCAATTTCCATCAAATTGCTGTGTACAAAATTCTTATACTAATCGTTTGCAAACTTATACATTATATTACTCTGATACAAATAAACTAAGCTCTCAATCCAAACAAAAGAATTTTTAGAAGAAACTGTGTATTTAGTTTCACATGAGCCTGAACTGCATTATCATGTTCCAACATATCAAGAGAGAATGCGATTGCTTCTTCATATAATAATCATATACACTTTACATCTCCAAAGCATATGTCCAACATATATTTATCTGTGTATAGTTTCACATGAGCCTGAACTGCATATCATGTTCCACATAATCAAAGAAGAGAATGCGATTGCTTCTTCATATATAATCAAATACACTTACATCTTCCAAAGGCATATTGTCCAACATATATTTATATATAATATATATATATATATATATATAAACAGGGTCTATGAACATGAAGTTGAAAAGAAAAGAATCAAGGCAAAACAAAAGATCAACACCAGGTTTGCTGCAAGTTTCATCAGAAATTCTGACGAGTCATGCATCACTCTCCTTCCAATGTGAAACTAACAACACCTTAAACATCATCGACCTATACACACATCCTTCACCTGAAATAGCTCGGCCTCACATAAAAAATGATATAGTATTAATTATCCATAGTGCTGCTATTTTGATCATCTTCAAAATAACAAAAATCCTGCCAGGAAAGTGAGATCACCCTGTTATCAAGGAAATCTAGTCCAGTAAAAGGAATAGTGTAAAGTAAGAAGTAGTCAGACCCTGCATAATGAAAGTTAAAGCTGATGCAAAATGAAAAAATAGAAACAAGAAAAAAAAAAAAAAAAAAAAAAAAAAAAAAAAAAAAAAAAAAAAAAAAAAAAAAAGAAAACTCACAAATTGATCATGCATCCACAGCTCTTTATGTATTATGTAGCTTCAGGATTAAATCCAATGTGTAATGTGGGAACAATTCCGTTCTTGCAGCAAAACTAAAAGCTTCATAGAAGATGAATCAAAGGCATAATAATACTATTAGCCTGAATATGCTTCAAAACCAGTAGGTGTATTAAACAGAGAAATCTTGGTTCTCTCTTATTTTCTTATTTTTTAAAACCTTTTCTGTCAGTAAGACAGTCAAAAGTGAAATCAACTGCTCCACAAATGGCATTATTTGACATTAATTGCAGCAGCCATGCTCCTAAGTTTCCGAGAAATTTCTGCAAAAGATGGCCTCTCTGCTGGATCAGAGGCCCAACAACTTCCCATCAATGCCTTCCATTCTGGATCACACCATGTTGGGATTTCTGGCCGTAATGAGTTATTCACAATCCCTCCTACAAATAAAAAAGAAGAAACATTGGCTTAATTTACCATGGTACAGCTGGCCAATTCATGGGTTAAGGCACACAAACGAACACGTATAAAAAATTCTTAAGAATAATTTCCAAGATTTGTGTGAATGTGGAAAAATAAATTCCTTTAGTGTTACTAATTTACTCTAGATGCATTATTGATGATGAAAAGGGTTTTAATGTTATGTATTAGTTTACAGTTTGCTTATGATATTACAAGATCGGTCAAGTTTTCAAGCCAGTTTATGGTGGCATTACGATACTGCAAACAGTACTTTCAAGAATTTTAGGACTCTTCGATGCTAATGGATAATAGGATAAATCGGAACTTTTAATGGAAGAGATGGAATGAATATCAGATTTGGGTATAAGGCAGGTATACACCAAGACAAGACAGGTTATTGACTCGACGCTATAATTTGCATCACACAGAGAGAGCTAGAATTTTTTAGAATGATTTACGCGGAAGTGATAGATCATGTACAGTATGTATGGAGACTATTTATACTACTAAAGACTGATAAGGTTTGTACTCTTAACTCAATAAAACCAATAAGTTTCACAAATAATAAGAAACTCAAATTTCTCTATAAACTATGCTCCTAAACAAGAATAAAAAGGCATAAATATCCTACTTCAAAATCTACACTACAAGAACAACAGTTAAGCCTTAATCCTATATTATCCTAGCCTCATAAACACTATCTATAATCACAAGAAAATAATACTCAATTTTCTTCTCATAGCCTCCATCATTCTCTGCCATTTGAAGAAAATTTGTCTTTATTCTTTCGAATATTGAAGCAACAAACTTGATTCCATCCATCCTTTGCATGGATTTGAAAACAACTCTATACTCTTTTTCTTCTTTTTTACAGGTAATAATATGATATATAATTTTCTTAACTCAAATTTGAGTATGACTTGTATGTAATTACAAAGTCAAGCCCAATTCATCAAGAACATCTCGCTTTTGTCACAAATTTATGGGAATCATACATAAACCCAATAAATTAAAAAGAGTTCAGAAAAGGAGGAGAGAGAGAGAGAGAGAGAGAGAGAGAGAGAGAGTTCAGAAAGAGAGGAGAGAGAAGCAGAGAGAGGAGAAAGAGAGAGAGAAAGGGGGGGGGGGTGATCTGTCATTACCAATGGTCTTTAGTTGCCAGTCTAATAATGTTGTTGGGCCTTACCAAATTATGGAGGCGCAATGCATACAGCATTAGGCTCTTCCCCAGTTCAGTAATTCCCACATGGACAATCCCAAATGAAATACCACATCAATCTTTGCAGCACAAAATATAAAATGGTATAGATAACGTGGTTTTTATATTATAGCAAAATCTAATATTAGTGTCAGAAATTTTCCCACCCTTCTCTGTCACCACTGTGCTTATTTTCCACTAGAGCTGGGGGGGGGGGGGGGATTGTATTACCAATGGTCTTTTAGTTGCAGTCTAATAATGTTGTGGGGCTTACCAATTATGGAGGCGCAATGCATACCAGCATAAGGCTCTTCCCCAGTTAGTAATTCCCACATGACAATCCCAAATGAATACACATCAATCTGCAGCACAAAATATAAAATGGTATAGATAACGTGGTTTGTTATATTATAGCAAATCTAATATTAGTGTCAGAAATTTCACCTTCTCTGTCACCATGTGGCTTTTTCCACTCAGAAGCTCAGGTGCCATCCACGGTAAAGTTCCACGGACACCGCCTGACACCAAGGTGTGCTGTTTAACCTTTGATAAGCCTAAATCACCAATCTGTGAGACAGTGTAAACTAGGTCAGTTCCCAAACCATGACATTTTAGAACTAATTACCATTATTGTTTTCAAGTAAAATTTTGAATCAGACCATCCAGTGAAACTAAATAATGATAAACCACAAACAAACATCGAAAGCACCAAGTGCAGTCTATTTAACTAAACAGCCAGCCATGGAATTTTGAAATTTCACAAAACCCATAAAAAAAATAACAAAACAAGATTTTGACTAACAAAAGAAAAGTTCAATACAAGTTTGTGGGACTTCCACATATCAGCTTCATACCTTGCAAACAGGACGCTGTGGATCTCTCATATTTACTAACAGGTTTTCACACTTCAAATCAAAATGAACAATGTTTTTCCCATGCAAATACTCCATTCCAAATGCAGCATCCATAGCTATGATGAGCCTCTTGCGACGATCGATGGTCCTGTCAAATGATATTAATTGTCACATATAATCATTCCAGGAAATTATTTGCTTTCTATATTTTTCTGTCAACAAGTTTTATCTTGTGGAATATTTAATTTATTCTTCATTCTTCATATGCAATAAGTATTAGCATAAGAGCCAAATATTTGCAAAACACAAATTGTTTACCTGTCTTTCTTCTGCAAAAACTGTTTCAGAGATCCATTAACCATGAATTCTGTCACAGTTGCTAGGGATCCATCAGGACCATCGCGAACTATGCCATAAAATGAAACAACATTTGGATGGTGTAAAGAACTCAAGATCAAAGCCTCCTTCCAGAAATCTGCGATCTACAGCGAGAATATAAATGCAACAATGGTTATTCAAATATCAACTCCATTACCAATCAGATGATTCATAATAATAATAACAATTTATTATCAGATGAAGAAGTCATGCTACTAGTGCTACTGATAGAATTCAAATAGCAAAGATTAATTGAAACACACTCATTTAGATGATGTTAACTGTCAAGTGAACGTCATCCTCTAACTGTCACCAATATGCAGGCATCAGCTTCAATATAATACACCGCAAAGTGATAGGATAAGTAAAATATGTGAAAGAAAAACAAGCTATGGATTATACCATAAACCCACACATAATTGCTACAGAAACCATGCTTGAGGAATCATAATCCTACCATATGATGCATTTTTACTTCCTCAGTTTTCAGACAACAGTTACAAACCATTTATGAAAAGTGCAAAGCAAGTTTCATCTAACCAAAGTTGTTATTCAAATTTATTCTTTTACTTTTTCCTCTTTTAAACAGTTCACCAGCACAGAGATTTCTACTAGCATCTGGATAGCCACAACATTTAGCGACCCGCCTCAGGAAATAGACTGTGAAGATCCAAAGATTTCACAAGCCTCCCTATGCTGCTTGGGAGTATCATATCCTAAATGATTTTATATGAAATACTAACTCATTCTTGCATAACAATATTCAGAAAATGCAGATTGATAAAAAAGGCATAATTATCTGAATGCTATAAACTCTACCAAGCGCTCTCTATCAGAAGGTCTCCCCGCAAAGCAGCTGGCTTTTATTCTCTTTATGGCTACATCAGAACCTTTCCATTTCCCATGATAAACAGCTCCATATGTTCCAGAACCTAATTCACGGATTTCCTCCAAATCATCATTTTTTATTGTCTGAATACAAAACAAGCATGCTGTTAAAACCTAGCGCAAAATGATGAAAAGATGGAATAATAAACAAGAAACAGTAGATGAAAGGAGCCATGAGGATGCCAAAGAAAACACCAATGATGCGCACAAGACAGAAAACATGAACCTGTAATCCCCTCTCAATAGCTTCTGCCTCAGCTTTCGTTGGCTCAATCTTGTTAGGATTTATATTGTCATCAGAATCCAACTCATTTTCTTCCAGAACATTCTGCAAGAAAAGCAAGGCATTAGAAAAAGAACATGAAGTACAGCATGGTAAAATGTATTTTCAGAATAAGAAAATCCAGTTCCTTCTCACCACTGCTTCATTTTCGTTTGGAGTTTCTCCTTTTGATACTGAAGAATGATTTATAGATTCAGCATCTTCTTTTACTCTAGCTTTGACCTCCTCAGCCTCTTCCAATGCTGCCTTCTTTACAGAAGCAATAAGCTCAGGTAAGAAACTTAATCGGTCAAGTGATAGCTTTGTATCTGCCACTACAGCAGAAGGGTCATTTTCATCAATTTTTGCATCAACACCAATTCCTTCAGTATTCCTAGAGCAATTTGAATGGACAGACTCTGGAAATGCAGCCCCACTATGAGTATGAGCAACCATGTTTTGCTCCAATTGAGGTATGTTTGAAACCTCTAAGTTCTCAACCTTTTCCACGTAATTTGCTTCTCGTTCCATGCCAAGTACAGTTTTCTCGTCTACTTTTGCCACTTCAGTGATATTGCTACTACTAATTTCTGGATTGCAACCAGGAGCACCTGTAATTGCAGATGAATTGAACATTTCGTGCGGGAGAGGTGGTTGTAAATTTTCTGCAGCAAATAGCTGCTTATTCTCCAGACCAGAATGATTTGGATTCAATCTCAAAGGATGGCCATAAGAGTATTCTGTGGCAATTGCTCCATCAAAACCAAAAGTCTTTTGCGTCGACTCTATCCTAGAATGCTGATTATCCATACAAGCACCGATCCTTTGACCACCCTCAATTGTACCCCTGAGAAGAGCTGGATTAACTGTGCCATTCACCTGTGAGGCTGCACTGGGAGTTTCATACGAATTGCCATGGACAGGGTTTTGAACATTTCGCCATAAATTCTGAGAATGTACATGTCCATGTGATGTCGGATAAAGATTCTCTGTTCCATAGGCATAAGGAAAATTCCCATACCGGACTGCACGTTCTTCAGAAGGTGTAACATGTAGATGGTGCGAAACAGCCACAGTCTGGTCATGAAACACTTCATTCCCCAATTCATGTACAGCTCGGTGATGACTATAAGTAGAGGGGGTATGATGGCCATCCACCAAATTGGCATGCCCAGGAGGATAATTTATGCCAGGACCGTCTACAATGTAGTGCTCATTTATCCTTCCAGCTCCAGAGGTATGTGTTCTTACTTCATCAGCAGGAGTGAACTGATGCTGCAGATTCCATCCTCTTTCATGGCTGTGCGCTTCATTGTAGATAGGACGAGGATCAGTCTGATCTTTGGGGTACATTACATGGTGAACCTTTGGATCAGCATTTAACATGAAGTGTTCCCTGTGGGTGTGGCACTCAGCAGGTGGATTAGCAACCTGGTGGAGTGCATTTCCTACATTGGGTTGCTCCACATGTAGTTGATTTCTTTGGAAAGGCACCCGGCAATGCTCACAGGCACTATTCCCATCAATAACATTGGGACCATGAAGCAAGTTACCAGGAAAACCAGCCTTATCAGGAGGTATAGCTCCAGAAGGCATCCATACTACATTCTCGGAATATGGAGGCTGATGGTCATAAGCAGAATGATGACTTAGAGGTTGCCGTGCATATTCTTCAGACACTCTATCCATAACTCTGTCAGGCAATTCCCCAAACTGCATACGGTACCTAGAAGGGGGTGAATTTGGAAACTCTGGCATTGGTCTTAGATCATGGTGCCCGTGATGCCTAGGAGAATAAATTGCAGGACTCCATGTACCATCCATTTCATTGTACCGCTGAGGAATTGCAATGTGATGCATGTTGTACTGTGGCATGGACATTTCACCACTCCTTGGCTGAAGCCCACTTTCAAGATTTAATGGACTAAAAAATTGTTCATGTACATGGATATCTTCAATTGGACCAATCAAAGGAGACTCAGGTTGCTGCCTTCTGAAATCAGCTCCATCATTCAAATTATTCAGCGCGTCCACATACCTCCTCTCAGAATCCCTTTCATCCCCATCAACATAATGGGATGAATCATCCTGGTCTGGATGCGAAAACAAAAAAATCCTAAGCCTAGTGAACCCATCCCCATAACCCAACTTCTCATACTCTTCCATCATATTAGTAACATCATCATCATTCACAACCGATACGAGGGCATCAAGATCCTCATCAGGTTGTTGATATTTCAAAACTGCAGCCCCTTCATAAAGCTCCCTCATTTTATTCATTAATTCCTCATAACCAATATCCCTATGCAAACTCACAATTCGCGTCTCTCCACCCACATACCGCAACTTCCCATCCTGAGGTCTAGGCATAATGCTACCTAAGAAACTGCACAATAATTTAACACGCGGGGTGGTGGTTTCATCATGTGACCCAAGGTTGGAGCCAGAGGTGGAATAAGTGAGAGATGATGTGTTATCCATCAAGTGAAGAGCTTGGCGAGGGTTTTGCTGGCTAACAACAACAGGGTTATGAGTCTTATTCAAGCACTCAATGCCTTTATTACACATGGAGTATCAGTCACGAAACATGCAACTAACAAATAATTTCTCAAACTCAAACTCTAATCCTAAACCCAAACGGATAACCAGATAGTTCACTTATTCCTATAAAGCAAATAAATAAATTCCCATTTAAAAACCTTATTAGAAGACTTTCAAAAGATCGTATCTTCCAATAGCAACCGTGGCCACAAGTTGAAACATCATCACCCCAACCAAGAAAAAAAAAAACCCCTAAAATTAATTTAAAATCAACAAAACTTTAATCAATTGAAATTATAAACCGCTAAAACGCAAAACGCCCCACGTTGAGTTACAGAATCCAGGTTCTGGTGCAACCGATAAAATTACACCATATCGGAATTCCTGCAAAACGAATTGAATCTAAATTCCTCTAGAAACTAATTAGAATCATAAATTCAACACAAAAAGAAAAATATAAATTACCTCAAAAATCTATTTTCTCTCTCTGGCTTGAAATTGAAAAATATTATCAAGGAGATGAGAATTGGAAAAGTAAAAGAATAGAAAAGGAAAAAGAAAAGACATTGGTGACTGCCATAGGCAGAGGGCTTGTTGTGTAAAAGAGGAAACTGTGAAAGAAGAAGGAGAGAGAGAGAAGGAGGAGGGATGATAGATGCGATGGATGTTCGCCAGGTAGTGTCACACGTGGCACTACCTGCTTTCTGCAACTCTTTAACCTTCGCTCGGCATCTTCTATTTATTATCCTTCCCCCTTCCCGCTTCTCTACCAAGTATATGCCTCCGCTCTATAGCCCACGCGCTATTCTGTTGCGCGTGTGATTGTTGCAAAACGCATATTTTTGTTAGTTTTTGATTGATCGATTCACTGACCGATGGCCTTGACAAATTGACACTCGTATAGCGGTATAGGAGGATCAAAAAATAATATGCCACTCGTTTTTTTCTTTTTCGATTGATGCTAACTATATATTTTTTATTATAAAATCCTTTAAATATAAATTTCTTGTTTAGTTTAAAACCACGGTTTATTTTTTATTGTTTAAAAAAAAAATATATTTTCCACTGACCGATGGCCCTTGACAATTGACACTTCGTATAGCGGTAGTTATAGGAGGATCAAAAATAATATGCCACTCGTTTTTTTTCTTTTTCGATTGATGCTAAATATATATTTATTTTATTATTAAAATCCCTTTAAATATTAAATTTCTTGTTTTAGTTTAAAAAACCACGGTTTTTTTTTATTGTTTAAAAAAAAAATATACTATATATATATATATATAAATAAATGATACCCCCCAATTGATACTAGAAATTTTGAAAAAATCCTATTTTATTTATTATTGATAATAAATCAGGTATTTGTTCCATCATATATAAATAAATGATACCCCCAATTGATATAAAATTTTAAAAAATCATATTTTATATTTATTGATAAATAAATCAGGTATTGTTCCATCTATTCGAATCGGATGGACGGGTTGGATTCATAACCATTGGATGTTAGGGATTGATTTTAAAGAAATATGGTAGCCGTCCATTGCGTGGTGGCGTAAATGGCGCGCAGAATATTCTTTGTAGAAGAACCAAAGGGGGGTTTGATTCCATGTAAGGTTGCTGCGACTTGCGACTCCGGTCTAAATCAAAAGTTGACGCGCGCGTCTCAATCGATCTCACTTTCCCCGTGAAAAATCACATAGGCAAAGGGCATGTGTCGCCAATGTAAAAGCGCCACGTGGAAAAACTGAAAAGATGAGATTCGTTATAACTAGAAGCTTTGAGGACTGAAATCTTTTGTCGTCTTGTTTTTCATTGCTGGCTAAATATTGTCTTCTTATAATTTAATATTCGGAAGTATCTTCACAAATGAAAAGGAGATCGTTTTTTTTAACCAAAAAAAGAAAAGAGAAAGAAAGAATCCTTTTTTAGCTTGTTTTTTAATATTATTTTTACCATATCATGAAGTAGCTTGCAGTGTACTCTAACTTTTAAAATCAAACAATTGAAATAAATTATTAAAATATACGCAATTTCCCTAATAAATTTGCTAGATGGGTAAATTATAATTGAAAGGAAAAAAAAATTGATGCTGAAATTGAGATGCTCATAAAGTAAGAAAATTTTTGAAATGTAAAATGAAAGCTTTTGAGAAATTAAATAACGACAGTTGAAATTTTCAATTGATAAAAAGAACTAATGTTAAAATTGAAATGCTTGTAAATTAATAAGGATTTAAAAATGTAATTTAACAGTATTTAAAAAATTAACTAATAATATTTGAAATTCAAAATTAAAATTGAAGTTGAAAGACATTAGTACTATGGTAGATTGCTTGATACGTTAGATTGTTGACAGTTTTTTTAAAATCGGATTAGACCGATCCATAGAACTAATTAAGTAATAAATCAGGTTTGATTCGTTTTTCAAACCAAACGCATAAACTTTAAAATAAAAAGAGTAAATTTAGATACATTTCTGTTTTGTGGAGCAAATGTTTAAAATACAAAGAATAATTTTTAAAAGGTTTCGATTTTTCAAAAGGAAAAGACATAAATCTCCACATCTACATCTTAGCACTTTCATCTTCTTTCAATTACTCAACCACTGGTGGAGGCACAGATTCCTTTCCAGAGCAGAGAAAATTAAAAACACAAAGTCAGCTTATAAAGTTATCATATACTACTGAACAATCATATTGAGAACACAAAGTCTGCTTACGAACTCGTACACTGTGTAAAACTATGTCAAAGTAATTTTATTAATTGAAAAAACCAGGAAAAACTTAGCTTAATAGATCTAAACTAACCCAAGGCCCCCATACACCCAACCTAGGACCAAATAAGCTAAGTGAAAAAACCTGGGTCTTTTACATCGGAAAGCAAAATAGAAAGAAAAATGTTTTCCCAAACGGTAAGATGGCTACCCCTTGCAAGCTTGTCTACAGAACCAATAGAAAGAAAATCCTTGACCTTGCTGAAACCACAAACACAATCATTAACAACCTGCCAAACTCAGACAAACATCATCACAATCATTATGAAAACCTATAGAAAACACTTACAATTTTGCTCACACCAAATTCCTCCAAACTTGAATCTTTGTTTGTACTCAAGCAAAACAAAACAATTAAGATTTATTGATCCTTGTCCTAAAACCTCTTCTATAAAACACAAGATAAACTTCGGATATAAGCAAATTAATGCACGGTCTCTTCCGCCTCAAAACGTAACAAGATTGAAACCAAGATGATCAAACACAATCTTTCCTTTCCACTTTTCAAATTCAAATGAACATCCAACTTTCGAATTTTGCAAGCTTTAGAAATAACGTGATTAAGAGACATAAAACTAAATTGGCATTCATCTTCCTTCGGCTACTACAAACAAAAGTAGCAACAAGAGCTTTTTATTTTTTTTATTTTTTTTTTCCTTTTGCTATTTACTCCCTCTTCCCTAAGTCTGATTTGCCTTTTGACGCGAACACCCACATTGGTGATGCCGGCACCCGGTTACTCAGCTTTTTCATGACCTAGAGTGTTTTACATACTCATATCTTAAGCTACCTTTTGACGTAAAAACACACATGGGGCACATGCCTGCTCCTAGTTACTCAATAACTCAAAACATAGGAGTAGACAGGAGTAAATTTTACATTTAAGCACAATACTTTACTGCTCCGTTACTTAAACCCTGTTTAGGACTAACCTCTAAAAGTTAAAAACCGCATAGAATTAAATCCCTTAACTAAATCATCCTAAAACTTTGCTCAAATCTCAGCAAGAAATGCATTCTACAATGATAATGAAAATTAAAGATATGCTCAATTTTTCTCAATCAAAACCTTGGTAACATCCTCAGGTTGAAAATTAGGCACAAAAATATCATTTATATCTAAACTATCTTGCATCTTGAAAAGAAATTTTTTGGAAAAGAATCAACTATGAGAAAAATAATTTTTGAAGCCAAAACAAAGATTCAAAAATTTCACTGATATGAACAAAGACCAACTAACCCAAACAAATAAATCCCCCGCCCCAAACCTTAAGAAACACATTGTCCTCAATTTAGAAAACAAATGAATTTAATGCCGAATTGTGGACAATGAAGTGTAAAATATTTTCAACCAACTCACAGAGGGCCTACCGAAAACAAAGCTTGCAACAGAGAAGTGTGAAGGGAAACAACCAGAAACTTAAAAACAAGCCTAATATGAAAATACACCAGCATGCAGCAACCTCGGCTAAGCAAGCAGCCGACAAAAAGAATCAATTGCCCACAAAATTGAGAACGAAAACTAAATGGCAATCAGCAACAGAACTCATAGCAAAATGGGAAACTAGCAAGCCCAACAGCATCAGTTATATAGGCTCAAATTCAGGCATAACAAAAATATTCAGAAGCCACCACCAGCAAAAAGACCTGCAAAAATGCTTATCTACAGCAGCTCATTCGTCCACACATCTATTAGCAAGAAAGAATTTGAACCTGTCAATGGAAGAGGATGAAGAGGAGGATGAGGCTCTGTCGAGTTGAGGAAGGACGGCACTGCTTGGGAGGTCCTCGATTTATATTTTTCTAGGCCGCTATTGAAAGAACATTGGAGCTTGGAGCAGATAAGCTAAACAGAAAAGCTAGCAACCCCAAAAGTATTCAGAAGCCGACCTGCAAAAAAGTTTAATTAGTGCAGTTCAAAATTTTACAGCAAAAGGGTGCCAATAGAAGTATCCTGCAAAAGAAAACAGTCCAAAAAAAAAAAAGAAAAAAGGGCGAAAACAACAAACATGATTGACTATGCCCCATGGAAAAATTGATTATGCAGTAAAGTAACAAGTAGATACGGAAGCGCTTGAATTATTCAATTTAGAAGATTACCGGCTCAACATATTGTTCATTCTTGTCTTTTTAGGAATTGATTTAACCCTATCATTACTGGAAACCCAAAAACAGCAGTGATGTGATTGATATTAACTCTAAAATCTCTATTAGAGAGCAAAATATTAAGATCCTGAAATACCTAGTATCCCCGGCTTAAAAATTCCCAATTCTGGCTAATAATCCATTTCATAAGAAAAAATATATATATATCTACGTTTCTATTCACAAGAAAGATTTTTGTACCTGTGAGGATAAGGCTCAGTGAATGCGGACTTCCTCCCCCGCATTCAGATAAAAGCGGCGTATTTGCATTTTACCGTTTTTACAACGAACCACAGTAACCTTCGACGGATTAGATTTTGAAGGGCTAGGGCTTACCGGATCAATGTGAATATGACCCCAAGAAGATGAAACCCAAAAACAGCAGTGATGTGATTGATATTAACTCTAAAATCTCTATTAGAGAGCAAAAAATTAAGATACTGAAATACCTAGTATCCCCGGCTTAAAAATTCCCAATTCTGGCTAATAATCCGTTTCATAAGAAAAAAAAAAAAAATCTACGTTTCTATTCACAAGAAAGACTTTTGTACCTGTGAGGATAAGGCTCAGTGAATGCGGACTTCCTCCCCCGCATTCAGATAAAAGCGGCGTATTTGCATTTTACCGTTTTTACAACGAACCACAGTTACCTTCGACGGATTAGATTTTGAAGGGCTAGGGCTTACTGGATCAATGTGAATATGACCCCAAGAAGATGATGCACGTTTTCTTGATGATGATGAAGCGCCAGAAGTAGAAGGAGAACCAGTATTCGGAGTAGCAAATGTTGTTTTTGAAGGGTTAGACCTTGATTCAGAACTTATTGTAGCATCATATGCCTTTCTTCTCACCGGGTTGCCCAACACGTCCAAAGCGGACTTAATTAACTTGAACGCGCCCTCAGCAGCAACAGAGGGGTTCTTGTCAGGATGAACCATTAATGCCATTCTTCTGTAATGATTCTTTATTGTGTCAGCGTCTACATTGAAATCTTTGATGGCAAGTATTTCATACCAACAGTTTTTCTTGTTTGCCGCTAACTGGTGTACTCTGTATGCTGTGAAGTAATCATCGATGTGAGGGAGTTCTGGGTTGAAATACTTGGCTGCCGTAAGGTGCTTTATAGCCATGTCTATGTTTTGAAGCTTGAAGAACTCATCTGCCATGTCTCTGGCCTTCTCGGCTGCCACCTTGGTCATATCCATGATACTTTGCCCAGTTCTTGATTCAAACATGATCGGAATTAAGAAATTCAATCAAGAACCAGAAGAGGCACGACAACATGATCGGAATTAAGAATTTCAATCAAAGAACAAGGAAGAGGCACGGACCCAAGAGGAGCATCAAAATCGATTTCTCAGAAATCAGATATTCAGAGGAAAGCCTATGGTGAAAGTGCCGAGAGATAGGATCGTTTTTGATGAGACTGAGCGAAATAGGCGTTCGCATTTCAAAACATGATCAGAAATTTCTCGAAAATTCACATGAAGAACCAGAGAAATCCGCAACAGAATCTTCAGAATCAGAAGAAAAGCCATGTGCAGGAGAAGATGGTCAAAAAAGCGGACAATCCTTGGCCATATATTCCTTGATAACTTCGCCCGAGTTCTTGATTCAAACATGAATCGAGAAATCCGAATTCAAATCAACGAACAGACGTAAGGCACAATCATCTCTCAGGAAACTTACTTATCAGTCTATAGTCTTATGGCTGTGGAAAAGCCCATGGAGAAAGACTTGCCAAGAAGAAGATAGATAGGATTGAGCGAAAATAGGGTTCCGGTTCTCTAAACATTATCAGAGTTTCCTTAGAAAACTTCAATTTCAAGAACCAGAGGTGCAAAATCGCACAATCTCAGAATCAGAAAGAAGCCAATGGCGGGATGTCAAAAAGCCAGAACTTCAAATTGATTTGAGGTTCAAGCGAAAAAACTAGGAGTGGGGATCCAAATACAATTTAAAACTTCTCAGGAAAAACAAATCAAATTTCTCAGAAAACAATCAGGAACCAGAGGAGGCAAGAAGGATCGATTTGATGATATTGACTGAAAACAAACCGCCTGCAACGAATAGCTTTAAGATTGCGATCAGAAGAAGATTGGGTTGCGCGCAACTTTTAAACAATAAACCCTCAGTTCCCGTTTAAGATTTCTCATTTCTGGCGGCAATCTATATCCATAACTACCTATTATTATCTATTATAACAAACTAATTTTAGAATATCTATCCATTATTATATGTGTATATATGTACTTATTATACCTGTCTATATGGATTTATATACGAATATAAATACATAAAATACATATATATAATTAAACATTTCAAATTTTTAAATTTTTTTTAAATTTATTTTTAATAAATATATATGATAATGAGACTTCTGAAAATTTTTTATATCTTATTTTTATATTCTATTATCATGCTTGCTTGTGCTCGCATTAAAGGCGTTTTATGAATTTTTTACACAGTTTCAATTGGTATTTATTTCATTTGCAATGAATTTTATTGAAAGAAAATTCTTCGAAAATAAAATTTCATATTTGGATCTCCTTATAAATCTTAACAATTTTAATAGAATTGTGCTGAATATAACTAATTCTATGGTGTAAATTTTCAAATGAAATATGAAAATATGAAAGAAATTTTTATGAATTTTAAAGAAATTGCTCTTTGGTTAAAGAAAATTTCTCGGAATCCCAAACTGAATATAGAATTAGAGGACATATATGCTTTCATTACTTAGGAGACACATTTGAGCCATTTTCGATTTCATCACTAAATCATACATAATATATTATATATATTATAATATATTATATATATATATATATATATATATATATATATAGGATATATAGGCTTTTAAGAATTGTTTTTCTTATTTTTAACGTCAAAAGTTGATAAAATGGCATATTTAAGCCACATTTCCAATTTAAATTTTTTGAATGATATTCTTCAATTTAGGTTTGGATAAACTTAAAATTATTTAAAACTCTTGATTAGCTAATTTAGAAAATTTTGTATTAACGGTTTAATCTGCCATCTCTACAAAAATGGAACCCATGTGATTAAGTTTTTTTATTCATGAATATTATATATATAATTCGACTAAATATTTATTTTTTAAAAATTATAAAGATCGGTGAATTTATCAATATTTAATGCTAAAATGCAAAGTCCTTTAAAAAGAAATGCTAAAATGCAATGAATCAAGTGAATTATTAGAAGTTAGTGTTATTTCATTAAAGAACCTAAATTACTGTCATTTCAATTATATATTAATTATCTGCATTTATAGCATTTGTCACTTCTTTTGCAGCTTCATCAGATCCACGTATCAGCCTCAGTTTGGTACCCCAGTTTGGTAGCGGGAACAGTAAGTACTTATATTCAACTTTTTCCAAAAGAGCATTATTTTGTTCAGATTGTGATGCTTTGTCTAATTGTATTTCACTTCTGTTTTTTTTCTCAAGGCATATATCCATCTTCTCGAAAGCAGCAAGGCAAATTATTGAGGGGATAATCCAAGCTACCAGCTGCATAAGAGGAGACACATGGGATGCCAGTACCACAAAGAGGCCGAGAGACTTTTATTGGGAAGGAGTTTCAGGTGCCTTTGGTTTAAGTTAATCATCATTCAATTGTTAACAATTTCATCCAAGATACCTCCCTTAGTATTGAAACGCTATATTGTCATTGTATTGAAACGCTATATTTCATTTTTTGCAGAAACATTTCATACGGGACGAGGCCATTACGGCTATGCTGAAAGTGGCCTGGGAGAAGTTATGCGCTGATTGATAAGCTGACTTCACCTATAGGATGAGAAGAATCGGTAAGAAGCAGCTGTGCGTGTCTCAGGAGATATAGGAGAGCTAGCAAAAGGCTTAGGAGGATCCTGCATTCAAGAGAAAGCGGGAGATATTTGCACAAAATAGGCGCAGTGTGTCACGCCCCGACTCTAATCACCAGAGGAATTGTCCGCTTTGGCCACGAGGTTGTGCCTCGGCCTAATCCGGCCAACACAAACACCCACCCTCACGGTTTTGTTTCGCAGGTGAAATGGGAAACTTCCCAGGAGGTCACCCATCCTAGGATTTCTGTTAAGCGAGCACGCTTAACCCTGGAGTTCTTCCAACTCTCCGTTCTTCCAAACTCCTCCAGGCCATTCCACCAAAAAAGGGCTTTAATGATTAATTCCCCCTTTTTCGAATTATAATGATTTCGAATTCATATCCTGTGTCTGGCATTCCACTACCCTAGCCTAGCCCTGCCATCCTCGGATGCGAATTTGCCGGGTCGGGATGTCACACTAGTGAGACTGGCGTGGATGGAGGCAAAGAACCTTCTCGACACAGCAGGCGGATCAATATCTGCTATAGAAGACAGCTCGATTATTAGTAAGTGAACTAAAGTCACAGTATATGAAATTTGATGTTTAATGAAAGGACACTATATATACTTAATATATCATGCATAAAAATTCATTACAGGCTAAAGAAATTAGGTCGTTGAGCCAAACCAGATTGAGCAAGAACTTCTCGAACACAGGCGGATCAATATCTGCTATAGAGACAGCCTCGATTATTAGTAAAAGTGAACTAGTCACAGTATAAATGAAATTGATTGTTTAATGAAGGACACTAATATATATTAATATATCATGCATTAAAAATTCATTTTACAGGCTAAAAGAATTAGGTCGTGAGCCCAAAACCCGATTGAGGTGGTTTTACATATACAACTCACCACGAAAGGACACGAACCTTAATACGGTTTGTCAGACAGACGTGCAGTGAGCGTCAATGTAAGTAACAATGAATAATAATTTACTTTTACCCTCTAGCTCGTTGCGAAGATGTACAAAAGTTTCAATATAATAAAGCTTGGCAATTGCATTGATTAATTAATTTTTTGTTTTCAGGATAAACTAATACTACAGCTCGGGAGCATCTTGTTTTCTTCTCAGACCTGATTGAATCTGAAGCTAGTCAAGAAATTGACAAGGTTAGCACTTTATCTCCGAAGGCTGTAGGGACGAGAAGAAGAGAAGGTATAACGGCATCAAGGTCCCTCAGGCATCACAGTTTTTACTGCGGCTCAGCAGCTTCACGCTTCTAACAAGCCAGAGCAGGACCACAGCCCGAGCAACACTGCCGAGGAGTTTAATGAATTTACGGGCTCGTGCTGATGAATTCAGCAGAGACAAGATTGCAAAACTTAAAGCGCATGTGATTGCGGCTTGTCCGGCTGAGCCGGTGCTGGTACTTCTTCCTCTGATCCTGTGCCTGCTAACAGATCGAAATGTTTTTCGACATATCAGCAGCAGCCCAACTACCGTCCCTCCTGATCCCGATGCTGCAGACAATCACCTTAGTCCCACCCCTCCTGGCACTACAGTAACATCCAGTAGGTACTCCTCCAGCGATTCTGACATCGGATCGTGCAGATGAGCAGCCGCGTAGATTTGATTTTGGACGGCTTTTTAGTTTTTCATTTGTTTTTTGACAATTTTGTTCAGACGATTCGACATCGGATCGTGCAGATGAGCAGCCGCGTAGATTTGATTTTGGACCTTTTTAGTTTTTCATTTGTTTTTTGACATTTTGTTCAGAACAATAACAATTACATTTTTACATTGTTCTTGAATTGCGTTTGTGATATATATATATATATATATATGTCAATTTTCACAGGTGCGAAAAAATTATAGTTTCATAATAATATTTTTTTTTATTATTTTTTCAATTTTGAGACCGATTTGCTACCAAAAATTAAAATTTTAAATTTACAATTTGCGACCGAATTGCATAATTGCGACAGACTTTTTTTGCGACCAATTTGTGACAGCGTTTCCAAATGAAAACACGACCAAAATTTGCAACCGATTTTTCAATTTTGCGACCGATTTTATTGGTCGCTAATTTGCGACGTCGGTCGCAAAAGATTTTGTGATGAGCATTTTGGCGACCGATAGTTTCGGTCGCATATCGGTCGCTATTTTCAATTTGCGACCGATTGGTCGGTCGCAAAATGCCATTTTTTTTGTAGTGAATGACGTTCGTAATCATATGAAATTTATAATTATTTAATTTTAAAAATGGAGTATGAATAGCTACAGTACTAAGCATAAGCATAGGAATGTATAATGAAAGTTTTTAATATTAAATTCAAGATTAATTCTTATATTTATCCCCCTCAATACGTGACTTTAAAATTTAAAAATATTTAAACGTTAAAAAGTAACAAATATGAAGTTCTTGCAAATCT